AGTGTGCACAGGCAAAAAGAGGGAATGTAAATAGATTAGGTCTAGTGTTGGCCTTTGCGCAATAACCCAGATCTGATATGGCAAAACCCATTTTATGTTCAAGGTTAAAGTAGAAGATGAGAAGCAGGGGCGCCTGGGTAGCTCAGTCAGTTAAGCGTCCGACTTCAGCTCAGATCACGATCTCTTGGTTCATGGGTTCAAGCCCCGTGCTGGGCTCTGTGCTGACAGCTCAGAGTCTGGAGCCTGCTTCAGATTCTGTCTCCCCCTCTCTCTAAAATAAACATTTAAAAATTTTTAAAAAGAAAATAAGAGGACAGATGCCTATGAGGTTTACAAGTTGCTAACTTACAATTTACTTCACTTTAGGAAGAGGTCACAAAGAGATGCAAAGGAGAATGAAAAACCAGAAAAATGCTAAAAGAATAGTCACCAAATCCATAGCAAAAGTAAAATTTTTTAGAGGCACCTGAGTGACTCAGTCGGTTAAGCATCTGACTCTTGATTTCAGGTCAGGTCATGATCTCACAGCTCATGAGTTGGGGTCCTTTGTCAGGGGCTCTGTGCCTTCAGTGCAGAGCTTGCTTGAGATTCTCTCCCTCTCTCTCCCTCCCCACCTCACTCTGTGTGTGTTCGTTCACTCAAGAAATAATCTTTAAAAAAATTTTTTTAGAGTGGGTAATCACAGACAATGCAGAGCCTGCTTGGGATTCTCTTTCCCTCTCCTTGTCCTTTCCCAACTCTCTCTCAAAAATAAACATTAAAAAAAGAAAACACTTTACACAATGGCTATAGCACATGGGACAAAGTACAGAATTTAATGGCAATATGGCACCTATCACTTGGTTTGCATTTCAGAATACGCTTTCTATAAGGTCAGGTTACAGAACTAACTCATCTCATTTTAAAAGCCTGCAAAACCTTTACCTCCTCTCATAAAATAATTTAGAATTTCTACTAGGACTGAGGCAGGAACATCACAAATGAATCAATTCTCTGATTTATATTCCATTAATGGGTTCTACTGAAAGGAAAGAGACCAATATGCTCATACACCAACCATGTCTTTCTAACTCTGGCCTCTTACTACCCAATTGTGCTCCCTTTTATGCATCATAAATTCCTATCAAATGCTGACTCCAATGCCAAGAATATTGAAGTCCCATCTTTACCAAAACTCCCTTTAAAAATTCTGTATTTCATACACACTAGAAAGAGGAAGGAAAAGGCATTATACATGGCCCTAAGAACTAAATTCCACCAATAGCTGCAAGTTCCTCAGACTGGTCAAATCTCTTTTTACAACCATTATTCCCTGAACCTCCTCTTGGTCTTGACATCTGGCAAGTATCTTTTTTTTTAATTTACATCCAAATTAGTTAGCATATAGTGCAACAATGATTTCAGTAGATTCCTTAGTACCGCTTACGCATTTAGCCCATCCCCCCCTCCCAAAATCCTTCCAGTAACCCTCAGCCTGTTCTCCATATTTATGAGTCTCTTATGTTTTGTCCCCCTCCCTGTTTTGATATTATTTTTGTTTCCCTTCCCTTATGTTCATCTGTTTTGTCTCTTAAAGTCCTCATATGAGTGAAGTCATATATTGGTCTTTCTCTAACTTCACTTAGCATAATACCTTCCAATTCCATCCACATAGCTGCAGATGGCAAGATTTCATTCTTTTTGATTGCCACATACATACATACATACATACACACATACACACACACACACCACATCTTCTTTAACCATTCATCCATCAATGGGCATTTGGGCTCTTTCCATACTTTGGCTGTTGTTGATAATGCTGCTATAAACATGGGGGTGGCATGTGGCAAGTGTCTTTATTATACCACAACTTGGGGAGCAATCAATTCTAGCTTCCTCAAGAGGTACAGAAAACTAACAATGTAAATGTAATACACTTAAATTACCTGTAGAATAGTTAGTTGTTTTTGTTACAGATTCTTGAGCTTCAGATATAGCCTTCAAAATTAGATTCTTGTTAGCTTGTTTAGAAGGTGGAAGTGAAGGTCTCCTTTCAGGCTTTGCTGGCACTGACACACTGTTGGAGATGCTTCCTGTATGAGACCCACAATCATCATCTTCCTCCTCCTCTTCTCCATCATGATTGAATTTTTT